GCTCTCTCTGTCCTAGTGAGGGCACCTTCTGCACAGCCCCTTGTTCTTTCACAACCCACTGAATCCTGAGAACTGCCCAAACACCCCATAAACAGAGACCACTTCAGACCAAGCACACAGCTTTGCTATCTAAATGTCAGATGCTTCGTTAGGAGCTTTTTATATTACTTGGTGGTCAATCAACTTCAGCATTTCTATCATGGTCAGTGGTCCCTTGGAGACCTGGAGGCTGAGGTTGAGGCCTGTCCTTCGGACAGCACTGCTATTCACAACCCGCAGACCTCTCCTTCTGGTGATCTAAAGATGACCCTGCTTTCCTTACCCACTGTTGCTGTCAGCTGCGAGTGCGCAGGTTCCTAGCCAGTGAAGCTTACTCCTGAACACAGTGTGACATGCAAAGTGTTTTATGGTGACCCAAAAAGGGCTATAAGAGGACAAGCCTGTGTGTTCCCTTTGAACTTGCAGTACCTGCACTGTGTGTGGGTTTCGAATGATCTGATGAGGCCTGTGGTGTTCATCATCTCTAGAGCACAGTGTGGTGTGCGTGAAGATGGACGCATCACGTCTACGAGGAGCCATACCTGAACCATGAATTATATTTGCAAATATAGGTTTACTAATATGACAGCTAATGAAAAAATCTAATCACTGTAAAATGTTTGATATATTAACATAAAAAATGCAGCTACAGTAATAAAAATAGCACTGTAAAAATCATATCCTACTGAATAGGTCTGCTCCTTGTGTATACTCAAAATCACATCTGCCTAGCTTAGTGACAAAATGAATTTTTTCTCTGTACTCATTAGTAACATAAAACTAATGGATTCTGCTCTGATTCTCTCCATAGCAACTGAATTCCCTGCCAGTTCCAGTTGCAGGGCTAAATTCCTCTCCCAGTTCATTCAGTACGGTTTTGTTGAGAAGAGTGGGACAGCACAGCAGCAATCCAAAGGAGCACTCTAGGTCCCTGAGACTGCAAAGGTGTAACTAAGGACAACATTTAACTTCCAGCTCTTCTTTTTTTTTTAATTGCTGCTGGTAATGCATAAGCCAGAAAGAACACAGCTTGACTTTCAGAACCTGGCTTCTGTTTGCAGGTCTGGCAGTTGGCAAAAAACCCCATTATACTGTAAACAGTGCAAATTTGATCCGGAGGCCATTGAGATACACCAAGTGTGGAATCCCATAGCGCCATTTTAGACAGTTGCTTTTTGGAGTGAAACTGCACTATATACAGTGAAAGCTGATTATTTCTTGCTGCACTGTTTCTTTTGTTCCAAATGTTTATGATTTGATGGAAACAAGAAGCTCTGAGATAGCTTGAGATGCTGTAAAAGAGCGCACCTGCAAAACATCTTTTAAGTACCATTGCTTCTTTAGTCAATAAAGTCTTGAAACTTTACAAATGAATAAAGATACAGTTTTTGCTTGTGAGAAAGAAGTGATTAAAAGACACAACACCCAGGAGTGTAGATGAGCAGTATATCATTGACACAGTCTTTTGAAATCACTGTCAGGCCTCTAAAATGCCATCATCCTCCCTATTTGGGATTCTGAGTCCCCGAAAGTGTATTTTGTGAGCTGTGAGACGTGAGACTTGGTTCGAAATTCAGAAATCACCATGCCATATGCATTGTTTTTGTTACTCCCTCTGTGAGTTTGTAGCTGGAAAAATCTATTTCGATCATGTTCTTCTAAGCAACCATTTCCTGAGCTATCTAATACTATCCTAAAGTGACCACCTCACTTCTTTCCCATTGAAAAAGCCTTTTCTAATTTCCAGCTTTAAATTTATTCATGGCTGGCTTATAATCATGTGGTCTTGTGCCAACATTGTCATTTAACTTAAATAGCTCTTTTCCGTCCCTGATGTATATATAAAGAGACATCATATTCCTGCTCTGCCTTCACTTTTCTAGGCTAAACATCTTGTTAGGCTCTTTTTGTCTTTTCTCATAAGCAAGGCCCTCCATCCCATAATTATTTCAGTAGCCCATCTCTGCAACCTGCTTGAGCTTTAGCCTCCAAATTATATTTAAAGAATACAAATGTGAATTCAGAACCTGCCTGGGAAAATTGTTAATTACTTATGCTGTTTAAATGTCTGCTTTTGTTAGACTAAAAAAACCTTTCACTATCAGGAATCTGGCCGTGTTGATACTTTTACAACCTAGGCAGGCAGTGGAAAACCACTTCATTCTATGTTGTACGGGTTTTACATCATTTCTTCGGTACACAGCCCAGTGCTTGCAGATGACACCTGCATTGGTGACACACAGTGGGTTGTTTGGGGGCTGTATACACAGAAGAGAGGCTTATAAAATCCTTAGTGTTGCTGGGGGCAGTAAATCACACAAAGACACAGGTATTTTGAAACCTGTAGCAGGTATGGTACAGACTGGCCACGTGAGACTTGAAACAAGCTGGAGCTGCATTCTACAGCTACAATTTTTCAGCTGAAACAGGAGACTGCAAAAGCCCGAGAACTGTAACAACCTGAAAACTGCTGAGCAATTCCCAGTAAATCCATGAGCTTTTCTGAGCAACACATGGAAATGAAAATACAGAGGTGTGAGCCATTCCTAAGAGATCACATTTGGCCAAGTTAGTTACTGTAGCTCACCAGTGGAGGCACAGTAAAGGGCTGTGTGTTCAAGTCTAGTCCTCTGCAATAGCAAAGTAAAAAGTATTAGCTGAAACACTTTCATAGTAGTTAATTGACCTTTTACAGTGGTTTAAGCAAACAGATTTTACTTCAAATTTGCAGTGAATTTGGACCATGCACATAATCAGCTTGCACAGCTTTATTGATGAGTGCTAACTCATTAAGCTGTGATAACTCACTCACAGTCACCTGTCCACACTCATCATTGCTGCCTTTAGCAATGTGCCATAGCTGTTTTAGGCTGGAAGAGCATTAATGTTCTCTACATGTTGCAGAGAAGAACTGGGAGGCTTTTAGTGCCGAACGAACGCAAGCAAGGTATTTCACATGTCAGCAACTTGGGGGTTTAGCAGAGAGAAAACATTTGAGTGTTTTTGGAACAGGAAAACAGCACCATTTCCTTGGCCTTCTTCCTGGGCTTAGGATATGGTTGAATTTCCTACCTCAACAGTCATTAAGAGCAACTACATAGATCCTACCACCGCATCCAGCAAACAAAGGAATTTGTCTTATCGCATAAAGAAGTATCTTTGTAATTAGTGATGGAGTTATTACATTCAGGAAGTAGAGCCGTTGTTGCAAGTTCGTAGCAGACTCAAGAAGACAAAGTTGGACCCATTTTTACCTTTAATTCATGTAGCAGAGCTTTCATTTCATAAAATATATGCACCATATCAGAGCAATAGGGTGATATGGCTTTGCCAATGTTAGCTTGCCAAAGCCATATCACCCTATTGCTCGGATATGGTATAGGAATAATTAGGGATGCCTAGTTTGTTTGAAAGTAAGGATGCCCAAAGTAATATATGCAATGAAAATTTAAGTTACTGTAATCTGGTCCTTCTGGAAGAAGAATTGAAAACAATACAAGAGCATTGTATGTGATTATAAATTATACAAGTTAAATATAGCATGCTACTACGCACTTAAATTGGTTGCTAATCATTTCAGGATATTTTTTTGACTGATAGGAATAAGGTAAATATTGCTTGTTCAAAAAATATTGAGGAACAGAATTCAAAAAGAAGTCCTTATCATGTTTCTTGGTGATGCAAGACCAAAGGTAAACACTTTGAAGCTTATAATTCTGGGCCGACTTGTCTGTGGCTCATAGTTGGCTTGATCTTGAGCATTTTTCAATCGACATGGATCAAACTCCATAATCAAAATCATCATGACTTCTTGGTTTATTACAGTAGAATGACTCTGAAGACAGTTCTGCTCTCCTATCACTCAATGAGATTTCTCTAATGCTTAGCAGTTCTACCCCTTTTTAAAGCAAAAGTAAAATGGGTTGTTGCATCACAGAACCTTCATTTACTGAGCCCATCTTTATCTTAACAATGTAGAGTCTTGCACGTAAAATTGAGCTTGTTTTGCGACATGGGAACTATTGTAAAACAGGCTTAGTAAACTCAGAATATCCAGGCAACCAATACAGGCTTTTCAAATGCAGTCACAGTCATCATCTGTGCTCTATTTTTACAAGTTAAACTAATGTAAATGAGGGACAGCTGCAGTCCCAAGGACCTGGGACTCGTCCCATCTCTACCACTGACTCAGGGAAGCTGAAATGCCACTGAGCTATGCACTTCCCCTTGAGGTAAAGTGGAAATGGTTTGCATCAGGTGGGTCCCCAGCAACTTCTTTTAGAGGACACATTTTCCCCTTGTACTATGTACCCATATGCTCTCCTGTCATACACCTTTACTTCTGCAGCACAGAGGTTGATACTGAAATTCCTCCCTGTAAAGTTAACAGAACTGAAACAAGACTGGCAGGATTAAGACCCACAGCTTACATCTGTGCAGTATTTGCAATAAACATGATCATGTCATTTATGCATCTTACTAAAGAGAGAAAAGCAGTTCTTGTTCCCTCTGTCAGTTTATTTTATTGTGCCCCTTTCTTTTTGTGCTGTGAGTTCTTAAATCTGTGCTAATAAGAAGTGACCAAGGATTATCTGATTGTTTGTAGCATGTCACTCCCGTTTTGTGCTCCATTTTGTTCCTTAAGTTTCACACAATAATAGCAAAACAATAGCACGTTCAAAATCAAGTACTAAACGTGTAACATATTTGTAGAAAGTGTCTGTATACACATATATACTTCTAGTGCTGCCTACATTCAAAATGTGCCTCTATAGACCACTCTTGATATTTTACAGGAGGCATGAAGGTCAGCAACTTGGAAATTTGTAAGAAAAATCCTAAACAGCATCACAACGCATGGCCAAATCTTCCATATTAAAGTATTAGAGAGTGCTCCTGAGCAGCTATAGAAACTGCTTAGGTATCTTCTAAGTGAGTCGATAACTTTTTTTTTCCCCTAGGATGTAATTGGAAAAGCACTGCAGTATATTGGAACATATGGTGAGCTCTGCAACACGGAGCAAGTTGTGGCTCTGATTGACGAGGAAATGTGTATCAACTGTGGCAAATGTTACATGACCTGTAATGATTCTGGCTACCAGGTAAGAGCACAGCTGTAATTAGCAGAAAGGCACGATGAGTTATCTTTCTGCTGCTGCGAAGAAAGAACCCACCTTCTGTTAATGAGCAGGTGGTAAAAACAGATGTCTTAAATATTGGAATCGAACCCCAGCGCATTCTCAGGCTACGCCACACAAGCCCTGCCTGAGCTGTTGCGTGGTGGTGAGAAAACCACCCAGCAGGGCTCCTTCTGCAGGGTGATGCAGAGGGCACCCATCTCGCTGGCTCACTCCAGGTCACACTCCCCATCTCTCCCTAACTGCAAGTGGGAAGTGGGATGAGGAAGAGAAAGGAGACCCAAGTCAGATGGCAGTAAATGTAGCTTTTTGCTGGTTTTTCAGGTACACGAGGGGAAAGGGAAGAATGCATCCCTTCCCACCAAGGGGATACAGGGAGACAAGAGCTGTTCTTATTGCCCGATGCTTTTTAAGAAACCGAGTCCTTGTTCCATCAGCGTAACCCAACTTGAACTAATTCAGGTTTCAGGCAGGTGGGCTTTTGTTTTGACTGAGGTACAAGTCTTTCCTCCAGGATAGCTGCCAGGGTTTAGAGCAGCAGGTTGAAGCTTGCGGAAATCACGGTCACCAGGAAATAGCACAATTTTTGAGCTGAGGCTCCTGTTTGCAGCAAAGTATTTCTCTGATTTCTGCTCAGTACAGTAACCTAAGTTACTATATCAGCATTTCTACATCCCATTCCTTGCCATGTCCACTGGAGCTGGTGGACTGGTCTGCAGTAAAAGGGGCAGTACAGAAGGACTCGTGTTTATTTAGATAACCAAGCTACAGTCTAGCATAACCTCCATGGAATTCCATACGCAATAAGCAATGATTTCTACATGAATTTTTCCATTCTTCCTGGTCTGAGAATAGTTTGTCAGAAACAAATACTTCAACCGACCACGAAGTTTCCTCTGTACACCGTGACCTTTTGTTTATCCTTAATTCAGTCTAATCAATAGGAGGTCTGATTAATTTAACTACGTACAGTCAAAGAAAGAAGTCTTCCCATTTAAAATCAACTCCTGCAATTAAAACAAGTGTGTCAGAGCAAAGGTAGACATTTTTTTCCACTGATACGAGACAAGCAATGCTGCATTTATACCAGATTAGATTGCTCCAGTAGCCTTTTAACTGTCTAAATTTCTTCTTGACACTGCAATCTTCACCTCTTCTCCTTCCATCAGATTTCGCAGTGAAGGGGAGGACATAGCTCTTGGAGACCAAAATATTGTGTTTATATTTAGTAAAGCTTTATTCTCTATTACTGGAAAAAAAATCAGTACCAAAAGAACCCAAGTTTAAAACTCCAGGAGGTTTATTAAGCACACACACAAAGTTTTTTCTTTAATTAAGGAATTGAAAAGTAATTAATTGCAAAGAATTGAAATCCTTAATTGCAAAGAAATCAACCAGCCCTTCAAAACAGCATCTGCTTTCTGCTTCTCTTTGTTTCAAAAGTATCCATGCTGCTCCACAGAGCTATCACCTTGTACTCCACCAGAAAATCTTTCCTCAATTTGAAGTTAGCACTGTAGGCCCGACTTCCTCACCCTCTTTGAACTCCCTTTCCAGACGTGCAATGCTGTAAGGGAGAGAGGAAGGAGCCCTTCCCAAAGACTAAAACTTGCAGATTCAGGGCAGTTAGTACCTGCTTCATGTCCTCGCTGGTTGTTACAGCAACTTCTGTGCTTTCCTAGTAGTGAAACCCCAGATGCCACAAATCTGCCTCTGGAGCCAACCTGCAGCACCACCAGTACCTCCCAGCTCCTCCCCAGCTTCCCCACTTGCTGGTGGTGGTCAGGGAGATGTGCCAAGGCACCACTTGTTTGCAGAGAGGAGGGAGCTCAGCTTTCAGGCCTGATTTTTTCCTTCCTAAAACTCTTAAAAGTAAATATTTGGGGGGCGGTATTTTATTTATTTTTTAATTTTCTAGGTTTGCTTTTCAGATACTGAAGCTTCTGCGGTTGTGTGATGCTTTTGTTTTTGCTTTTAATTGTCATTTCCATTATACCAGGAGCTTATTTCATTGAGACTGCAATTGTTATTTCACATTCAAATATACTTATCACCCTAATTGCTAATGAGGATTCACTGCATAGAAACATGAGAACTAAAGCACGCTCTGCCTGCCCAAAACTCAGATATCCCTTTCGAAGACTTGCAAGGGAAAATAATCATATGAGGCACGGTGTGCTGTGTTTTTCTCCTCTATTTATTCAATTAGATTGTTTATGCTGTGCTGAAAATAAAAGTCCAAAGAACGCCTTGTGGTCAGCATTGTGCTGAAGCCGCACCGGCCGGTTCTGGTGTCTCCTCTGAACTGATAACCCTGGCAAATCGCCGTCTCACGAAATATTTCCTTCACGCGAAGGAGAAACATCCCTCTGGGAGTTTAATCATCACGGGCCAAACTCCTCCTTTTGTAACCAGCCTCTGTGACCATGAGCTTTCACCACGTATATTTTGGCCCCTATTTCTCATTTTAAAGTGTTGGGAAGGGGGGGTCGTTTTGTTCCCTGCCAGTTGAACAGTTGCTATAGCTGCAGTGCAGAATCACACCAAGATGTCTCCAAGTGCTGTAGCGCAGGAAATGCAGGCACGAAAATGGGAGCAGTTTTGACCTTTTCGGTGAGTGACATCAATGATGTTTATTCCTGCTCGCAGGCTATCCAGTTTGATCCCCAAACCCACCTGCCCGCGGTTACTGACAGCTGTACAGGCTGCACCCTGTGTCTCAGCGTCTGCCCTGTTATCGACTGCATCCGCATGGTTTCCAGGACAACACCCTACGAACCAAAGCGCGGGCTGCCCTTAGCCGTGAACCCCGTGTGCTGAGGTGACGGGGCCGACAGCTAACCTGAACTTTACACTTGTTTGATGCAATTGATTTGCTTTCTAATTAGCCCTTGAAAATCTGCTCTCATAAAAAAATGTAGTATTGATAGCCGTTACAATGAACACTGCGTTCTCCGATTATTATTTTTACAACAATTAAGGTCTGAAATTACAGAAAGGCAGCAATTAGTCAGTCGTGGCTGTCATCGTCCACTATTTGAAGTGTAACTTTCTCCTTACAAGTCATACTGTAATTTCAAAATTTCTCTATAGACTCCTTAATCTCTATGTATTTTCTGGTTGTAAATATAATTAAGAAAGCATTTTTAATGAACTACAAATCAATGTACAAGCTAACTGTTTTCAAGGAGGCATTTTGTAATTAAACATCACATTTAGTTTTAAAAGAGTTTCTTAGAAGATGTAATTAACTACACAGCATTCAAACAAAGCAATGTGGCTTCTATTTTTCTATGGGAAGAAATGAAAGGGAGTTTAAAATAGGATTTAAGAACTGGATTAATCACTTTCAACTACTACAGCATATGGTAGTGTATTTTTATAATCCTTTCTAATTATTCTCACACTAGTCACTTTATAGAATAAATTTGCTGTGCACTGACACATGCTGGACTCTTCAGATTTGTGTGTTGCATGGGCAGCTTGATCGTTACTTCCCCCCCCCCATGAACACTCATAAAATCTCTCTAAAAAACAGGTAAACTGGCTAATTATGAAGTCCAGGTTCCATGTCAGGACTCTGAGATGTGACAACATTTCTTGCTCCGAGCTCATCCTCTAAATAACTTTTTAATTGCACCAATTAATGTTGCAGAATGTACACGTTACAGGTCAGAGATCCGATTACGTGCAAATGCAATGCACACCCTGCAGACTGCCATTGCCAAACACAGACACAGGGCAAACCGGCAGCATGATTTCCCCCCGCGCCCCTTCTTCATACTTACTGGTTATGTATGCTTATAATAGTTTCACACCCAAAAAGAAAGAAAGATTTGTCTGTCTTGCTAAACAATATCTCAGTTTTAATCCATTTTTCATTCACAGTAGGAACTTTCTAATACAAACGTGTTGCTGTCTTCTCGTAGTTTCATCATAATAATAAACGATTCATCAGTTCAGTTTCTTATACCCTATATTGTGATCAGCAAAAGCTTTGATTAAAAATACCCCCTAACTTTGTTTCTTGATTTATTAATTGTGCACTAAATTATAAATAAATGATGAAACCAACATGGGTTTGTTTGGGTTGGTGGTTTTTTTTTTCATTTACTAAACATGATTTTCTTACAGAGACTTGTCAGGTGGCATTTCCTGATCTCTACGATTCACTCCAGGGATCATTAATGAGTTAATTCATGTGTACATTATTCCATTAATTGCCTACAGTGCAGAATGGAGCGTGCTCTTTGCCCCTCTCTGGAACCTCTTTGCCTGCCTTTGCCTTGGCTTCCTTCTGCATCCCTTGCCCACACGCACACACTTGCATGCACACGTGTGTACACGCTGTCACTGATGTTTTGAAGTGTCATTTCATTTAGTACCCTCGCTCCACCAGCGCTGTTCTGCTGACACTTTGGGCTTGCTTGATGAGATACCTGGGCAGGCTCAAGCCCAGTGTCTCCACTAATAGCTTTCTTTTCATACTTGAATTTTTTTTCTTCATCGTTGTGGATCTTTCACACTCAGATGAAAACAGGAACACAGAGCCATACTGCTTGGAAAATATTTGCCTGAAACTTCTTTAAAGCTCTTGGTCTTCTGGTAGCTTCTTATCTTATGTGAGCTATAGAGGAAGAACAAGCTGCTTTGTGAACATTTGGAGAGTCTCCGCATGTACCCCTTGAAAAAACCCATTGAAGTCAGATCATCTGCAGGTAACATCTTATGTTCTCAGTTACCAGATGCAAGGAAAAGCAGCCATCTTCTCCCAGGCCATTACCATGTCTTGCTCATTTTGTACCCTACCTCCACGAACCCCGAGGGTGAGAGGCGGTGTCACCTGCGACTGAACCAGCTTCTCCAGGTCTGCTGCACCATTGGGCTGAAGGCATCACATCTGGGAGCGTGGCTTCTTTTAAATGCAGGACAAGGCCAGGAGACATAGTTTAAGTAGCTAAGCACACATATATCATAAACGTAGCAGCAAAATTAGAGCTTTTCTTAGGATATTCAGTAGTCGCAGTATATCCAATATTCCCAAGTAGCTATAAAGTAATCTTTGGAGGAGTAGAGACATTCTTTGTGAATCAAACTTATGATCAAGACTATAATTTATTTAACAAAGAAGTAATACCTGGTTATATTATGCAAGTTTCTTTCTCACTACCCACCCTCTCCCCAGCTCTTGTTCTGTCAAGTCCATTAACAGTTTTGGGGAATGCATTCCCAGATAAATGTGAGTACTTTCTAACTCTGACAGTCAGCATTAAATCTGTGTGTTACAGGAACTCAGAGAAATGGCCACATTTAGGTCTCCTGCAGGACTGTCTTTAAGTCATCAGGGTAAGGCAAACAGGCAGGGGAGAGAGCCACAAAGGTCATAGTCCTGGGGTTTATAGGTTCTCACATCCATCTTGGGGAATCCATCCCCTTCAGCGCATTCAAAAGCCAAGGAAACATATCAGAAAAATCTGGTCTACTCTGCAAATGCTGTAGCCAGTTATTAAAAAAGGGATATGAATTTTCAAAGTGTAAAAGGTTCCAAATTAAGCTCATATATTTCATTGATTTAGCTGCACATTTAAGGAATTATGTATTATTAAAGACATGCTGGGTGAGATCCTGCAACCCCAGCTCTTGCAGTTTTTAGACGTGTTGTCCTATTGATTACTATTAGAAAATATTGTAAACTGTATTTGACAAATTAAATTGTGATAGAAATGCCATAGCTCATCCTCCAGTAGCACATTCTTATTCACATCATATTCCTGAACAGAAAAAGCTCTCCATGTTCAGTGTATGCTCTGCAGTCCAAGAAATACTTGAAAAAGCTGCCAAATCCGCTTGTGTGAATCCCAATGCACTCATACACGTTCATTGGAAAAAGAGATGTTTTGCCTTGCTAACAGACTATACAGGCAGTTTGGTTTTTGGCCTCTAGGATGAACAGGCATAATATTTCCAAGGCATTGGATTGGCAGTGTTAATAGCCACATTTGAAAAATTACATGGGATTTTTTAAATACATAATTTCCTTATTTTAAATGAAATATTAATTTGATCTCTTAGCAAAATTAAAACTGGCCCGTGTGCATGAACGGGTAGCCTGTATATCCAGTATCGAAGCCAATGTACATGCATCCTGCTCCTTGCTCTGCTGCTTTACCAGCCCCTAGAGGAAGTCTTCGTTGCAGACACCCATTTGCTTAGTCCATAAAACCTAGCTGTCACAAAACAAGTGACCTGTGAGATTCGCTGCTCCTCTCTCTTGTGCCTTGGAGGACTCAGGGCTTTCCACCGTGTGGCCTCTGGGAGAGGGGACGTGGCAGCCGCAGTGCGGCTCACTGGCATTTCTGCAGTCTCCCCACCTTCCAGCACGGTTTGCTGCCACCTTTGGTTCCTCCAGCTTTGATGGCTTTAAGCCTTTTATCTCAAGGTGGCAAAACTGATGGCTAGATTCAAGGCAAACTGTCCAGACCCCAGATGAGTGCCATCAACTGCATGCCTCGTAAAACCACGTTGTTTAACACAGTGCAAGCCTTAGAAACAGAAAGTTAAGCATAGATACTTCCTATCACTAAGAAGCTCCAGCTCATATTCTGTATGTATGTGTGTTTCATTATTCATGTACTGTAACATAGGGTTGGGCATGTTGTTAAAATTTTTTATTTTTCAACATTTTCTAGTAGAAAATATATTTTTTAGATAAAATATTTATTTTATTGGCAAAGGTTTCCCTTCACGAGGCTGCTCCGCTCCTTTGATGAGCTGTGAAGAAAGGTTTTTCATTGGCAACATCTGGCAACCTGGCAGACTCTTTCGGCAGCTGGATTGGTAACTTCCAAGTTGCTTTTGAGTCTTTCACATAATTAATCTGCCTATGGGCCATCTGGGTTGCTTCATCTTTGCTGCTGCCTTTTCCTTTCTTTTCTGAGGAACTGTAAGCTCTCCAGTTATTCCTCCAGGAGATCAGTTTTTAATAACTCTTCCTCAGGTCAGTCTGCTGGCTCTTGTGTAGATGCCCATACCGGCCTTGCCCAGGAGCAGAGAGCCCGCTTTTACCCCTCCTTCTCCATGGAGGTCTGGATCTGCTCATCGTGACTTTTTTGTGATGTGTGAGCAGACTTTCTCATTGGTATCAAGCAGTGAAGCTCTGCAAATGGACATGTATCATCTAGGCACAAATAAAGCCCTGAACAGTTTCAAATCTTAAACACATGCACACACACACACACACACACACACACTCACTGTGCTTTCAGACACTGGGGCTGGGCAATATATGTGAACTAACTTGGACCGAGCACTGTAACAGAAGAAAGTCATTCCCACTGTGTCTCAGCAACTGAAAGCTGTAGCTGCTCAGCTTATCAGTGCTTTGCCAAACGCTAACACACCTCTGAACTCACTGGGGTTTCTTGTGGTGCTGTAGAAATACCAACCCTCTCATGTGCACCCAGCATTGCAGTGCAATGAGTGCAGGGGAGCTTTCCCGTGCTCTGCATGGAGCTGCCTCTGCCCCTCACCCGGGGGTGCCTCCTCGGCAGGGAGGGGGCAGCGCTGCCTCCCACCCCCCAGCTGCAGGGTCAGGCAGCGCTCGCCTGGCTGCCTCGCATGGGCCTTGCCGCGGTTTTGGCAGCCGGTATCCCTAAGCTCTTCTGTTGCATGTCAGCCAAAACAGAGGCAGTCGGTATCAAATGCCTCCAGTGGGCAGCTCACACTGGTAATTGCCGATGAGAGTCACACACCACCAACTACAGCCAATCATCAGCCTAAAAGACATTGGTTTTTTTCCTCACCTGTTTAGTCTAGAGACT